TAGCAACAGAATATAATGTCAGACATTTTAATTTTCACCAACCTGATAGATGAGAGAAATGGTTTCTTATTTAAAAATTTTTAAAAAAATATTTCCATTTCTCTGTGAGTGAATTTGAACATTTTTTCATATGTTTAAGGGCCATTTTTTATATCTGCTTTTGTGAATTGTATGTTTATTTGTTTTCTGTATTTTTCTCTTGGGTTTTTTTTTGGTCCTTCCTTCCTCTATTTTAAGTGTTCTTTATATATTAGTGATATTAGCCCTTTGTAATATAGTATCCTATTTCTTTTTTTTTTTTTTAAAGATTTTATTTACTTATTCATGAGAGAGAGAGAGAGAGAGGCAGAGGGAGAAGCAGACTTCCCGCAGAGCGGGGAGCCCGATGCGGGACTCGATCCCAGGACTCCGGGATCATGACCTGAGCTGAAGGCAGACGCTTAACCATCTGAGCCACCCAGGTGCCCTAGTATCCTATTTCTAATATCATAGTTTGAGTTTTCCTTGTTTTTGTACTTTATATAAATAAAGTCATACACATAAACTGTTTTTGATGAGAGTGTGATTTGTACTCTAAGCAACTAAATTATAGTCTGATCAGAATTTACTTCTGAGTGATACTTAAGTTTTTATCATTTTGCACAGTTTTTTTTTTCAGTCCTGAGACTAGCATTTATTATTCAAAGTTGTTTCTCTTCTTACTGCTGTGCCAATTTCTATCCTGTCTTCTAGTCCCAGAGCAAATGATGGCTTCTTTCTGAAGGATGTTCCTTTTTTTAATATTCCCATTGTACTTTGTAGTTTCTTTAATGGCATTTACGTGATTGTAATTGCTTCTATGTTGTTTCTCCTTACTAGACTTTAAGCTGTTTGAAGGCTGAGTCCTGACTTCATTTTTGTGTTCCTGACATAGTTCTGTGTTTGGTATATAGTAAGTGCTCAATAAATATTATTGAAAGAACTGGTGTAGTAAGAGATAGGAAAGAGGTGATGTCATTGTAGGGAAAAATTTGTCCTTGAGGAACAGGTGGAATTTGAATAACCAAAGAAGAGGGCATTCCTGGTGAGAGAAGAGGACTAGCAAAAGGATAGCTATGGGGATGAGCATGGTACATGTAGTGAACAGTGAAGATACTTGTCTGATTGGAACATGTTTGTTTATTCTTGTATTCATCATATCTTTACTGTGTATCTGCTATATGAAAGGCACTGGTCTAGGTGATATAAAACACAGATTTTTAAAACTTGGTACTTTGGGAAAGTAGTTGGTGGTAAGATTAAGAAGGTAAAGAGCAGGATTTTAGAGGACACTGAAAGAAAGGCATAGGTGTTGGGCTTGAAGATTGATAAGAGGTGGCAAATGAAGGATCTGCTGGAAGCTGTTATTTCCCTAATGTTTTTATGAGGGAGGTACATGTGTGGATGGGAGAAGAGCGTCATAGAAAATGATATTAAGGGGCTCCTGGGTGGCTCAGTGGGTTAAGCATCTGCCTTCGATTCAGGTCATGATCCCAGGGGCCTGGGATCAAGTCCTGCATCGGGTTCCCTGCTCAGTGGGGAGCCTGCTTCTCCCTCTCCCTCTGCCTGCTACTCCCCCTGCTTGTGCTCTCTCTCTCTGTCAAATAAATAAACAAAATATTAAAAAAAAAAAGACCTTAGCTAGGTCAGAGGGTATGAGATTATAGAAGGGTCAAGAGTGAGGGAGTATGATGGTTTTTCAGGAACTCTGAACTTTAGGAACTTTACTTTTTAGATAACTTGTGTGGGTGTTGGGGTAGCTTACTGAGCTAAGCACAGTAGGAAAGGTAATACATTTTCCTAGCGGAGGAAAAAACGGGTTTAGTTTGGGACACATTGGACTTCTCTTCCCACACTTTTCCCTATCCCATGACTATTCCAGTGTGCTCTGACTGCTATCTTTGGATTCATTTTTGATTCTTTTTATTTCATATCCACATACATACTTCTATAAAATTTTGTCCATTTACTTTCAGAATATATCCAACAGTTTTTCACTCTTTTCAGAACCTACCACTCTGGTCTTAACCACTATCATTTCTCACCTAATTATTATAGTAACTTCCTAACTGATCTCCCTGTTTATGTCCTTGTCCCCTTGTCTGTTTTCAATCCAGCTTCTGAATGATTCTTAGAATAATCAAGTCATCCATCTCTCTGCATAGAACTCTCCTTTCCCTGGAGTAAAAGTCACAGACCTCAAAGAGGGCCTGCATGTCCCCCTCCCCTTATTCTCTCTCATTTTCTTCTATTCTTTCTTCCTTTTGCTCACTTCAGTCCAGCCATATTGGCCTTCTTGCTGATCCTTGAACTAGTCAGGCGTACTCCATCCTGAAGATACTGTATTTCCATTTCCTTTGAGTAGAGGGCTTCTTCTCCCAGTCATTGACACAGCTCACTCCCTACTTTCAGGTCTTTACTCATATGTCACTTTTTTAGTGAATCCTTCTCTGATCACCTAATTTGAAATTATTGTTCTCATCCCTGCTGAATACGCTTTCCCTTTGATTCATTTGTCTCCTTAGCTTTTGTCACCATCTACATGTATGCTAAACATATTTTATTTTCACCTCTTCCCACTGGAATTTAAGATCCATAAGAGTGAGGATTTTTGCTTTATTCACTGCTATACTTCTAGCACTGAAAACTGTTAGCATATAATAGGTGCTCAATATTTGTTGAATGACTAAATTAATTAATGAAGTGCCTGAGATATCTTGGAATTGGTGCTTGCTATTTATTTATACCCTATTTAATTTCACAAAGAAGTAGAGGCAAGAAAGTGTCTAGTAGACAGGGGCGCCTGGGTGGCTCAGTTGGTTAGGTGTCTGCCTTCGGCTCAGGTCATGATCCCGGGGTCCTGGGATCAAGTCCTGCACCTAGCTCCCTGCTCAGCAGGGAAGCCTGCTTCTCCCTCTCCCTCTGCCCCTCCCCTCGTTCGTGTTCTCTCTTTCTCTCTCTCAAATAAATAAAACAAACCAGAGCCCAATAAAATGGTTTAGATTGGAAGAGAGATTTGCATGAAGCCATGGCAGTACATGAAATAGCTTTATAGAAAATGTAAAGAGTCAGAAGAGGATTAGGGATGGGATTCTGGAAACACCTCCATGTAAGGGTGACCAGGGAGTAGCACTGTTCTTTGGCTTTGCTAAGCAGGAACCCTGCTCTAGGCCTGGTACTTTAGAGGTCCTCCTCTGGCCTTTGCTGAGTTTTACCCCTCCTGATAGGATGAAGATGTGTGTGTATGTGGGGGGGGGGGGGGTACACCAGGGAACTAGTTCATTTGGTACCCATTTCTACATTAAGTTCTGAGTATTTGAACCCCAGAATTCCCTGCCCATGTGGCCCTTCAAAAGCCTCTTCTCTGATTCTCTCCTCTCTTGACTGAACGCATGTATGCTTCTCTAGGCCTAAGGGATGACCAAGCAACTGCTGTTTGCAGGCATGTGGCCAGAATCTAGACATGTGGGATGGGATGTCTACATACATACATATGAGGCTCCTTATTGAATGGAGTGGAACTAAAGATGGGAAGAGAAAAAGGGGTAGGCTCCCAAAGAATTTGAGTGACTCCCATGCTCTCATAGAACTTGAGGGAGTGAGAATTCCAGATCAGAACTTAGCCTTTTAGGTTGTTATAAAAGTATATATGTCAAGATGGGAGGATTGAATAATAATTTAACAGCTTGTTAGCTTAATTTATAACTTTAAAATATTTAGACATGTGGAATGCAGGCTTCCATTTGTACTCTTGCTCCAAGCCCCTTGAAAATTAGGGGTTAGCCTACAGGAGGGAATTGAAAAAGAGTAGCTAGAGAGGGAAAAGATAAATTCAAGATAGAGTTTCAAAGGGAATGATCAGTAGTGTCAAATACCTCAGAAACATTAAGTCCTATGAAAACAGATGTATCCATTGGATTTTATTGACAATCAGAATTTAGTAAAAATTTCATTTGGTGGTGATAGATGCCAAACTTCCATAAAAGGAGGACTACCTGAGGAATTAGGAAGTGGAGACAGAAGATAGGAGATTTTTTCCCCTAGATCCATCTCTGAGAAGGGAAAAAAACTAGAACAGTAGCTGGAGGGGTTTTCAGGGTCATGGAGGAGGACTTTTCTATGTTTAAGATTAAAGGGTCTTGGGGCGCCTGGGTGGCTCAGTTGGTTAAGCGACTGCCTTCGGCTCAGGTCATGATCCTGGAGTCCCAGGATCGAGTCCCGCATCGGGCTCCCAGCTCAGCAGGGAGTCTGCTTCTCCCTCTGACCCTCCTCCCTCTCATGCTCTCTGTCTCTCATTCTCTCTCTCTCAAATAAATAAATAAAATCTTTAAAAAAAAAAAAAGATGAAAGGGTCTTAAAAATGCTGATATGTTGAGGGAAAGGACCCAATGTTTAGTAAGAGAAGGTTGAGGAAAAGGAGGGAATAATTGATGGAGCAAGGCCTAACATCCAGTACATAGGTCATTAGATTTGCCTTTGAAGGGAGGAGGGCTATTTGAGAAGACTTGGGATGTTTGGATGTATATGGAAGCTAGGTTTGGAGGGTGAGAGAGCAGGAAAGTGACTTAATAGGCAATATGTCATTGATTTTGTTTTACAGTAGTTTTTTGGGTTAGTGTTTTTAAACCTGATTTTATATTCCTGGGCATCAGGGCTTATACCTGCAGCCACATGTTAAAATCCTGTTGGTTAATTGAACTGTAGCCCATAATATGAGGCATAGGCCATAGCATGTTGGATCTGTCTTTATTAAATAATTTGACAGTTTAGTGGTGTCTTAAAATTATAAGTTTGATAAAAACTTCTGATTCCTCAATAGCCTAGAAATAATTTCTTTATTATGTTCATTATATAATGTGTGTTATCAGGATTTGGAGATGGCTTTTTGTAAGAAGTGCGTATTGTCTGAATCACACCTATTTTGGGCAAAATATTTTTAAATAGAAGTATATTAATACTGTCTTCTTTCCCCCAAATCGTAGTTCCAAAGAACTGCTGGTTTATATTTTAGCTCTTGCCAAGTTGTGAAAATAGTGAAGGATGATTATACTACTTAACATTCAAATTGTAAGTAAACTTTATTTCTACTACTATTACCTATATGTTAAGAAAACTGAAATTGAAAATAGTCATTACCTTATATGATAATAGTGAGCTTTAGTGTGACATGGCCTGTGGATTTTTACTAGTTTTTGTTGTTAACTTACAAATACATCCTCTCCCATTGTCTTTGATAAGATGAAAAAGAATACTAATAGTCCTGAATGAATCTTAGGAGGTGTGAAATTTCTGCTTTTTTCCCCAGGTATTTCTTTTATTGTGTAAATTTACAGAAATTCTTTTTTTAATTTTCATATCTGTATAGTGCCAGTGGTCAAATTTAATATAGGACATAATATTAATGGAATGATTTATTAGAAATGTATATTCATTTCTCTTTAAATATGCTTAATTTTTCTGCATTATTTAATTTTTATATGAAAATCTATAAAAAATAAGTCTTTAATTCCTTTATGAAAAATATAACCTACATAAAATCAAATAAAATATAACTTTATTGGAATAATCTAATGCATAAATCTAGATGATGTATATATATATCAACATTCATCTCTACTAGGGGAAAAAGGCTTGAATTATGTTTACTTGAAACCATTTGCTATATTGAATTTTTTTTTTAAAGATACATTATTTTATTTTATTTTATTTTTTTTAAGATTTTTTAATTTATTCATTTGAGACACAGAGATACAGGGAGAGAGAGAGCATGAGCAGGGAGAGAGGCAGAGGGAGAGGGAGAAGCAGGCTCCCCGCCGAGCCAGGAGCCCGATGTGGGGCTCGATCCCAGGACCCTGGAATCATGACCTGAGCTGAAGGCAGACGCTTAACCATCTGAGCCACCCAGGCGCCCCACATTTATTTTAGAGAGAGAGCGTGCACAAATGGTGGGGAGGGGCAGAGGGAGAGGAAGAGAGAATTTTAAGCAGACTGTTCGCTGAGAGCAGAGCCCCACACGGGGCTTGATCTCATGACTCTGAGATCATGACCCTGAGATCATGACCTGAGCCAAACACTGAGAGTCAGACGCTTAAACCACTGAGCCACCCAGGCGCTATTGCTATAATGAATTTTTAACCAATAGCAAAAAAACTATTGAGGAAAGAATGATACAGTAATATTAAAGGCATTCCAAGTGATTTTACTACTTTATTTTTAAACTACTCTATTTGAAAGTATAAATATATAACTCAGATTAATCCATTTTATAGTCCTTATAGAGTATTCAAAATATGAACACAAAATGAGATTGCTACCATAATCAAAAGACAAGTCTAATTATATTATTCAGATAAAGAAACCAAAGGAGCCAAAGAAGAATGAAATATTTACAAACCAATAACTCTTTTAATTTGTTAAATAGGCAAATAATTTTAGAAGATGTCTTGATTTAGCATATTTTGTTATCAATGCATAAAAGATTTTTAAACTGATAAGAACAGATACTACACTTGATCTTAGCCAAAAGGCCGAGAAGCGATCAATGCATAAAAGATTTTTAAAATTTCTACCAAAATATTTCAGGGATAAAAGTATATCTTCATAACAAGACAAAGTTATAACACTTTATCCCTTAGAATGTAAATAGCATAAGGTCATCCGTGTGCAATAGCTTGGTTGCAATAAATTGTTTATGAACCTGACAGCTCTAAGAAGTAGAATGCTCATGACTGCCCTCTTTTGGCACTGGGCTTTGTAAGTCTAAGCTCCTTTTTCTTAGCTTACAAAAATGTAAAAGATTAGATTGTAAAATAGGTTGTGCTTTATATCCTTCCTGTATATTTTTAATAACTTTTCAAATTCTTCCTCTTTTTAGGCTCTCTGGTTAATCATCTTTAGAAGACTGGATTTCTGGATATCTCCTTCACTCCATGTCTATTGACTTTTAAAACATGATAATGCAAACCTGTAACACTGGCAGTCATCCATGAACCTTTAAATTACACTGCTTAATAGTGTTTGAAGCTTCCTCAGGGAATAACAATGACATCAGCAGTGGTTGACAGTGGAGGTTCTGTTTTGGAGCTTTCCAGCAATGGAGTAGAAAATCAAGAGGTTAGGCATCCAATGTATTACATTTCTGTTTTGTTCATAGAAATCAATATATGAACTCATTTTGAAATTAATGGGAAACAGGTAATTTTTGAGTAGAAATGTACAATGCATGAAACTGTACATGTATATGCCATGTGCCCTCATATAATTTAGGGAGTAGAAGGTTGAGATAGGTATTGCTAGGCTCACCTGAGTTGTTAGAACATGCATATATTGGAATGAACTGAGAGGAAAGAATTGAAAGAAAGAACACAGAAAGTATTAGTTGAGATAGATTTTAATTCCTGATAAAATTCATTGTTTTGGATTACAGAGTCTGTAGGTAAATACTGTACCTAAATACATAAATTAGATTCATCTTAAATTAGAATTTTGTATCTCCTTTAGTTGTCATGTGTGCTTTTTTTGTTATTATATCTAATTCAGTGTGGAGATCTATCATATTTCAATCCTATATATATAAAGAATTTGGATGATTTGTAAATCAGAAAGAAAGGTTTTGAAATTTTATAAATGTAGAACTCTGCATCATTATTATATATTTGGTTGTTTTCTTGTTATTGATAACATTAAAGAATAGGAGGTAGGAGTAGAAAAATAACAGTACCAGAAACTTACAGACTTCCAGGGCCTGGCTTCTGTTCCCTCCATTCAGTAAAGATTGAATATTGGGAAGGATCTAAATTAAAAAATGATGCTGTCATAATAACAGACAAATATTTGATCAGAGATGAGGTGGGCAAATGAAGAGTTGGCTGTATTTAAAAAATCTATTTTCTCTATATTCTGTGAAAGATATTGCTGTTACTGGTCCTTAGTACCAGCATAGTAGAATAGTGACAGGACCAAGAAATATTAGGATATTAGGCTGTGTATTCTGGAGTCTGCTTCTTTTTCTTGCTTGTTTGTGTCTGTTCAATCTTCCAAGATAACTACGGTTAAATTCAGAGGGATGGGGATAAAATGAAGGTACTACTTTTTCTTTGTTCTCAGTGGACTTGGTAACCAGAATGTTCTTATTGTGTTTCAGTCTAAAACTGATTTAAGGTCCATTAAGAGAAGCCACAGCTAGAGAATATACTTAATTCTCATAATCAGTTTCTATTTGTTCCTTGAAGATTCACTTTCTATATGATCACTTCTAGGTATGACTCACGAAAGAGATCAGAGACTCAGGGGACTTCCATCCCCTCCACATCACCCAGACCAATTATTACTTCATTTTCCAATGCTTTCTCTTTGTTGTATAATTTTACTTTGTTGTATTTAACCCTAAGAAGGCAACCACCAAGAATAATAGGCAGAGTATATTTACCTTGTGCTGGTTTGGTATCATTAATATGGGAAAAGGAGTACAACAGTTTGTTTCTGGAAGACACTATATTTTTCTTCCTTTACATGGAACCCAGGTGTTCATGGCCTGGAGAACTAATTATTATGGAAGAAAGAATCTGATAAATGAAGTCATTTTACCAAAGCATTATTGATTAATGATTTATGTGGTAGATATCCTATGGGTAGTCACAGGCGTTTTAGGTAGTATGGCACTAGAATGGAGGAAATTATTCTTGGGGAACTCTTTCTTCAAATTATACTATGTAGATACCCACTTGGTTTCATTTATTTGTTCCTTCAGCAAATATAAATTGACCACTTACTGTGTGTCAAGTACTTTTCGAGGCACTGGGAATAAAATATTTCAGAATGGCTATGAAGAATAAATCGGGGCTAGAGATAGATGGAGAGGTGGTAGGGGATGTTTTAGTTAGGGTGGTCAGGGAAGCCTTTTCTGAAGAGGTGGCATTTTATTTTAAAAATTTTTATTTATTTATTTGAGAGGGAGAAAGAGCACAAGCAGGAGGAGTGGCAGAGGGAGAAGGAGATGGGGCTCGATCCCAGGACCCCAGGATCATGACCTGAGCCAAAGGCAGACACTTAACCAACTGAGCCACCCAGGCACCCTTGAAGAGGTAGCATTTTAGTCTAGACCTAAATAAAGTAAGGGATTAGGCTGTAGAAATAGAAACATCTGGGGAAAGAGAATTCCAGGAAGAAATTGAAAAGCAACTAGTATCTGAAATATCTCCTAATATTACAAAGAGAATTTTGAGGATAGTGTATGTGAAAGATAGATTTAATATCTATACTCTAGAATGTAGGGTGGGGTGAAAAAAATGACCTGTCAAAATTTTAAAATCATAGCTCCAGAATCTGAAGAAAAAAATAAATGTTTAAGAAGTTGTGGGCATTTGGAGAGTTATTGATGATTTTTAGGCTTTATTTTTTTTAACTCTATTCCTGATTATAAAAGTAATGCATTTTATAAAATTAGAATAATTATATTTCTGGCAAAGAGACAAAAACCAAAGATACCAATTCCAGTCTTAATAATGAGTATAGATGCAAAAATAAAAAAAATAGTAATAAATATATAAAATGCAGTCATATATTAAATTCAGTACTAAATAGGATTTTAGATACACAAGGATAATTCAGTATTAAAAAAAGAACAATTAATATATATACCTCTACTAATAAGACACATGACCTATGATATGTTAATAGGGATAAAATACCTGATGAAATGAGATTTTATGAAATTGAATATCCATTCCTGATAATATAAATATAGATAAATATTTCTGTAACATTATAAAAAATAACTGTTACAAATCAGTAGCCAGAATCCTGTTTAATGGTGGAGTACTGAAGTATTTCCTTTAAAATTGGCAAGAAGATAAATATGGGCACTACTGTAACTATTACTTAATGTTTTCCTGTAATCAGACAAGATAATGAAAAAATATATAGACATTAGAAAGAAGACCAAATTATTATCTTTAGATAATATCATTCTCTACCTGGGAAAACCAGAGGAAGTCCATGAAAACCAATTAGAACTAATAGGAGTGCTTGGTAGTTTAGTGGGTACAAATTAACATTAAAAATATCTAGCTTTCTTTTGTAAGGAATTAGTTAGAAGAGCTCATGGAAAATAAGATTCCTTTCAGGAAATTAACAAAAAAATATTGAGGAATAGTGTAAAAGATATATGGGACTTCTTTGAAGACAATGAATTAATGATACTGAGGTACATGAAAGACGACTTTGGTAAACAAAGAGATGTACTTTGTACTTGGATAGGAGAGATGGAAGGAGTCAGTATTGTGGAGGATGTCAATTTCCTCCAGGTAGTCTATATATTTTATTCCATCTTTATCAAGTATTAGGGCAAATTTGGGGGAAACTGATTATATGGACCTAAAGATTGTATGGAAGCGTAAATATGCAGGAATAACCAGAGCAGTTTTTGAAAAGGAAATATATAGCAGGTAAGTCTTGTAGAAATGGGAGTTAATGCAGAAAAAAATAAAAAGAGGATTTAAATACATTTTTAAAAACACAGCAAATACAATTTTAGAGAGCATCTGCTTTCAGACAAATAGGATCAGGAGTTCTTCCACTTAGACTGTGATGGAATAACAGACCAGATTTTTATTCCCACCGTAATCAAGGAGGAAAATGAACAAAACATGTGAAAGCATAGTTTGAAACATTGGTGCAGTGGTCTGAATGTTTGTGACCCCCAAAATGTTGAAACCTAACCCCAAACATGATGATACTGGGAGGTAGGGCCTTTGGGAGGTAATTAGGTCATGAGGTAGGAACTGTTATGCATGGGATTAGTGCTCTTATAAAAGGTTCCAGGGAGATCCCTTGCTCCTTCTGCCATGCAAGGATCCGATAAGGAGTCCTTGACCTGGAAAAAGACCCTCATTCAGTCATGCTGGCACCCTGATTTTGGACTTCTTGCTCCCAGAACTGTGAACAATAAATTTCTACTGTTTATAAGCCACATAGTGGTATTTTGTTGCAGCAGCCTGAATGGACTAAGACATTTGAACATCAGAAAGCACGGGGCTGTGCTTCCCAAGAGAAGAGCAGGTGATCTCTGATTGTACTGACTCATTCCTTGGAGCCACTTTCTGGATTACAGTGTAGGGAGGAGGAACCCAAAAAAAGAGTGACAGTGTCACTGAATTGAGGAAATAAAATTTGAAATTTGTGTTTTTTGTTTTTTTGGGGGGGGCAGCAAAGCAAGGTTTATTGAGCGATTTATTAAGCAATAACAAAGTGATAGTACAAAGCTACTGAGGAGGGAGGGGACCCAAGAGGGTTGGCTAAACTTTGGAATTTGAAGAGGCAAACGCTAATTGGAAGTGCAGAGTATCTGAGGGGAAGAAGCCACCCAGAGGAAGAATACCAGAACTCAGCCTCAGGTACTCTGGATTTTAGCTGAGTAAGCTTCCCAGATACAATATGAAACTCCATGAAACCAGGCAAAGAATGACCAGAAAGGTATAAACTCAAAAATTTACTGAAAAATCAGAGTTCACTCGGGGCTGGGAGATACTAGAATTCTAAGCAGTTAGAAGGGAGAGTCCTTGTTAAATGCTCAGGGCATTCCTAGAGACTCCAGAAGAGTTATGCCTTCCAGTAGGGCTAAAGTAGCTCTGGAATAATGGGTAGTTCAGACTTGCCCTAAAAAGTTAAAAAAACAGGCCTTGAAAAAGTTGACCCATAAGCAACTATTTTTTTTTTTAAGATTTTATTTTTCAGTAATCTCTACACCCAACATGGGGCTTGAACTTACAATGCTGAGATCAAGAGCTGCATGCTCTTTGGACTGAGCCAACCAGGTGCCCCTTGACCCATAAGGAATTTAAACGTCATAGTAAACATTATTAAAATACGACAACAGGGGACGCCTGGGTGGCTCAGTCAGTTAAGCATCTGCCTTTGGCTCAGGTCGTGATCCTGGAGTCCTGGGATCGAGTCCCACGTCGGGCTCCTTGCTTGGCAGGGAGCCTGCTTCTGCCTCTGCTTCTGCTGCTCCCTCTGCTTGTGCTCTCTCTCTCTGACAGATAAATAAAATGTTTAAATAATAATAAATAAGTAAATAAATAAATAAAATTTATTAAAAAAATAAAATAAAATATGACAACAGTATGTAAATTGCACCCAACAGTGTAAAATTTATGTATCTAACACCCAACCATGTCAAATGCAAAGAAGGAGGAATAATACAACATATAACTTGAAGAAAAAAAAAAAAACTATCAAGACAGAAAAACAAATGATAGAGATGATGGAATTAGCAGATAAGACTTCAAAACAGCCATTATAAATATGCTCAGCAATTTAAAAGAAAACATGGAACTCAGAGGAGAGGCCTAAAAGATGTAAAAAAACAAACATAACTTCCAGAAATGAAATTTATAATATTTGTAAAAATTTCACTGGATAAGATTAAAAATAGATTAGGTACTATGGAAGAAAAGACAAGTGAATTTGAAAAGAGCAGAAGAAACTGCATTATGAAGCACAGAGAGAAAAACTGAAAAAAACATGAACAAAGACTGTTACCTGTGAGAAATATCAAGTTGTCTAAAATACATGTAATTTGAGTCCCAGAATGAGAGGAGAGGAGGGAAACAGAAAAAGACAAATGAAGAAATAACAGTCATAAAAATTTTCAAGTTTGATGAAAAATATAAACCCATAGATCTGAGAATCTTAACACCAAGCAGGATAAAGCAGAGAGCAAATAGACACTGAGGCACATTATTTTTTATTATTATTTTTGACACTGAGGCACATTGTAACAAAAATACTGAAAGCAAATTTCAGGAAGAAAATTCTGAAAGCATGCAGAAAAAAGTATTAGAGACAGAAGAACAAATTTAATGACGACAGACATCTTGACTGAAACTATGCAAGTCAGAAGATAATGACTTTAAATGCTGAAAGACTAAAACTTGTCAGTCTACAAATATATATCCAGTGAAAATGTCTTTCAAAAGTGAAACTTTTTTTCTGACCAATAAAAGGTGAGAGAATTTGTCATCCACACTGGGTTATAAGAAATGTTAAAAGAAGTTCTATAGGCAGAAGGTAGATGATACCAAATGGAAACTTAGATATGCACAAAGGAATGAAAAGCCCTGGAAATGTGTAGGTAAATATAAAATGCTTTTTAAAATAAATTCTTAATTAAAAAAAAGATACTTAAGACAAATAATAACAGTGTATTGTGGGGTTTACAATGTGAAAAAGTAAATGTATGACAACAGTAAGCAAAGGATAGGAGGAGGGAACTGGAAGAATACTATTGCTTTTTACATTATTCGTAAAGTAACATTACTTGTATATTAACTGTGATTAACATGTTGTAAACTCTAGAGAACCACTAAAAAATAAAGCAAAGAACTATTGATAGCAAGCAATTTTTGAATTGGATACTAAAATGGATACTAAAAATACTCAATTCAAAAGATGACAGAGAATAAAGAGAAAGGAATAAATGAAATAACAGAGAGCAGGGTGGTAGATTTAAACCCTGTTTTACTGATACTATTAAATGTAAATATTCTAAACAGTGCAATTAAAATGCAGATATTGTCAGATTGGGTTAAAAAAAGCCAAATCTATTTATGTTACATATAAAAAATTCATTTTAAGTATAACAATGTAGCGTAAAAGTGTAGAAACAGATATACAATGCAAACGTTAATCATAAAAAAGCTGAAGTGGTTTCAGGACAAAAATATTACCAGGGTTAAAGATAGATTTCATAAATGATAAAAGGACCATTTGTCAAGAAATGGGTATGCCCTCAATTATTAGAGCTTCAAAATACACAAGGCAGGGGCACCTGGGTGGGTCAGTTGTTAAGTGTCTGCCTTCAGCTCAGGTCATCCCAGGGTCCTGGGATTGAGCCCCGCATCGGGCTCGCTGTTCAGTGGGGAAGTCTGCTTCTCCCTCTCCCACTCCCCCTGCTTGTGTTCCTTCTCTCACTTTCTCTCTCTCTGCCAAATAAAATCTAAAAAAAACAAAAAAACAAAAAACACAAGGCATAAAGTGACAGAGCTGAACGAAAACATAGATAAATCCACAGTATTAGCTGGAGATTGCTGCATACCTCTCAGAAGCTGATAGGATAGGTAGAGAATCAGGATATAGAAGACTTGAACAACATTATCAACCAACTTCACCTAATGGACATTTATGGGACTCTCTACCTAATAGTACCAGAGTACACATTTATTTCGAGTGCACATGGACAGTGAACCAAGATAGATCATATGCTGGGCTATAATATCAATACTTTTTTGTTTTTTAGATTTTTTAATTTTTATTTTTAAGTAATCTGTACACTCAATGTGAGGATCGAACTCACAACCCTGAGATCCAGAGTTACATGCTCCACCAAGCTAGGCAGGTGTACCTACACATCTCAGTACTTTTTAAATATATATATTTATTTATTTATTAGAGCATGAGCAGGGGAGAGGGTCCAAGGGAGGGGGAGGGGAGACAAGCAGATTCCCTGCTGATCGAGGGGCCTGACTTGGAGCTTGATCCCATGACCCTGAGATTACAACCCTGATATTACAACCCTGAGATCACAACCTGAGCTGAAATCAAAAGTTGGATGCTTTCCTTTCTTGATTAAAACTCTCCACAGTGTAGTGATAGAGGGAACATAGCTCAATATCATAAAAGCCATATACAAAAAGCCCACAGCGAATATTATTCTCAATGGGGAAAAACTGAGAGCTTTCCCCCTAAGGTCAGGAACACAACAGGCATGTCCACTCTCACCACTGTTGTTCAACATAGTACTAGAAGTCCTAGCCTCAGCAATCAGACAACAAAAAGAAATAAAAGGTATCCAAATTGGCAAAGAAGAAGTCAAACTCTCACTCTTCACAAATGACATGATAGATAATCTATGTGGAAAACCGAAAAGACTCCACCCCAGAATTTCTAGAACTCATATAGAAATTCAGCAAAGTGGCAGGATATAAAATCAATGCACAGAAATCAGTTGCATTTCTATACACTAACAATGAGACAGAAGAAAGAGAAATTAAGGAGTCAGTCCCATTTACAGTTGCACCCAAAATCATAAGACACCTAGGAATAAACCTAACCAAAGAGGCAAAGGATCTGTACTCTGAAAACTACACAACACTCATGAAAGAAATTGAGGAAGACACAAAGAAATGGAAAAAGATTCCATGCTCATGGGTTGGAAGAACAAATATTGTTAGGATGTCTGTGCTACCTAGAGCAGTCTATATATTTAATGCAATCCCTATCAAAATACCACCAACATTTTTCACAGAGCTGGAACAGATAATCCCAAAATTTGTGTGGAACCAGAAAAGACCCTGGCTAGTCAAAGGATTGTTGAAAAAGAAAACCAAAGCTGGTGGCATCACAATTCCGGCCTTCAAGCCCTATTACAAAGCTGTAATCATCAAGACAGCATGGTACTGGCACAAAAACGGACACATAGATCAATGGAACAGAATAGAGAACCCAGAAATGGACCCTCAAGTCTATGGTCAACTAATCTTCAACAAAGCAGGAAAGAATATCCAGTGGAAAAAAGACAGTCTCTTCAACAAATGGTGTTGGGAAAATTGCATAGCCACATGCAGAAGAATGAAACTGGATCATTTTCTTACACCATACACAAAAATAAACTCAAAATGGATGAAAGACCTAAATGTGAGACAGGAATCCATCAAAATCCTAGAGGTGAATACAGGCAGCAACCTCTTTGACCTTGGTCGCAGCAACTTCTTGCTAGATACATCTCCAAAGGTAAAGGAAACAAAGGCAAAAATGAACTATTAGGACTTCATCAAGATAAAAAGCTTCTGCACAGCAAAGGAAACAGTCGACAAAACCAAAAGACAACCGACAGAATGGGAGAAGGTATTTGCAAATGCCTTATCAGATAAAGGGCTAGTATCCAAAATCTGTAAAGAACTTCACAAACTCAACACCCAAAGAACAATCCAGTCAAGAAATGGACAGAAGACACGAATAGACATTTCTCCAAAGAAGACATCCAAATAGCCAACAGATACCTGAAAAAATGCTCAACACCTCTTGGCATTAGGGAAATCCAAATCAAAACCACAATGAGATACCACCTTACACCAGTTAGAAGGGCTATTAATAAGTCGGTAAACAACAAATGTTGGTGAGGATGCAGAGAAAGGAGAAAATTCTCACATTGCTGGTAAGAATGCAAGCTGGTACAGCCACTCTGGAAAACAGTATGCATGTTCCTCAAAAAGTTAAAAATAGAGCTGCCCTACAACCCAGCAACTGCACTACTAGGTATTTACCCCAAAGATACAAATGTAGTGATCTGAAGGGGCACCTGCACCCCAATGTTTATAGCAGCAATGTCCGCAGTAGCCGAACTATGGAAAGAGTGCAGGTGTCCATTGAGGGATGAACAGATAAAGAAGATGTGTGTATATATATATACACGCACACACAATGGAATATTACTCAGCCATGAAAAGAAATGAAATCTGGCCATTTGCAAGGATGTGGACGGAACCAGAGGGTATTATGCTAAGCGAAATAAGACAAGCAGAGAAAGACAATGGTATGATTTCACTCATATGTGGAATTTAATAAACAAAACAGAGGAGCATAAGGGAAGGGAGGAAAAAAGAAAAGACGGAATCAGAGAGGGAGACAAACCATAAGAGACTCTTAATCATAGGAAACAAACAGGATTGCTGGAGGGTAGCGGATAAGGGGAATGGGGTAACTGGGTGATGGGCTTGGAACAGAATAGAGATGGGGTAACTTAAGGAGGGCACATGATGTAATGAGCACTGGGTGTTATAAAGAACTGGTGAATCACTGAATTCTACCTCTGAAATTAATAATACACTTACATTAATTAATTGAATTTACATTAAAAAATGATCCCTCTATCCAAATAAAAGTCTGTTATAAAAAAAAATTGGATGCTTAACCGACTGAACCACCCAGGCACCCTACATCTCAATACTTTTTAAAGAATTGAAATCATACAGA